AGTTGTACAACTATATCAATTTAATGTTTTATTTGATAAAAGTTATTTTTTATTATTTTACATTTCAAAACCATAACGTTGAGTTTGAATTTTTTGATGTATAATACCAGATAATAATTTTTTATTATATCGTTTTCTTTTTGCTCACAAAACATATTTTACTTGCGGTGCTATTTAATAGAATTCGAATAAACAAAAAAAAGAAGGTTAACTCGACAAAATATTGTCCTTTAATCAACCAGTGTTGAAACCCTTAATCCCCTCCTGGTTACGCCACTAATATTAACACATGTTAATATTACAGACAAATAGTCTTGATCTTTTTTTTATGAAATAGATTTAATCATCGAGGCAAAAATTGAATAAGATTACAAATAATCACTAAAAACCACTAGAACTACAATGGCTTTAATACACAAAAAACCAGCAAAAATAATTGAATCAAAAATATGTCGCATTGTATGGAGTATTAAAGTAAAACAAATATCACTGTACAGGCGATTGATTTCTGTTTGTTTTGTTACTCGAGTCCTTTTCATTGACAATAGAAGAATTAAATTAACGGAATACTCGAGTTTTAATGGAAAGAAAGCAATGTTCACGGGTTTCAATATACGGGTGTGGGATAGTCAGTAGATTAAGTGGTGATAGGTATTGACAACAGCGTGGAGACAATGTTATTTGATCATTACTTAAAAACTGGTGAACCTTACACAATCACAAATATAATGTGTTAAATTTCATAATTACGTACAATTTGTCTAATTTTATGAGTAGACAACGGCTGTTGAAAATATATTTTAATAAAATTCGGTTTAGTACCAAATATGTAGCAAGATGAGTCACGCATTTTTTCTCATTTTTCAACATCATGGATAAAAAGTGGTAAGTTAATATAAAGATAAATGTAAATTAGCTTATTGGGTTTTAACCTAAATTTTTTACGTTGTTGCTGACAGAAAAATTTGTTAGAACGTTTTTACCACATTACTTTAAAAATGACAACAAAATAAACGACTTGATTTCCGAGCACCAATTCACTTGTAAAGTAACTCTCGTCATTAATCTTATTTCCCATAAAGCTAAAACGTAGCTGACCAAGAGATCTCCTGTAAACTTGAAAAAAGAAACTCAATAAATTAAGCTGTCGGATGACATCACTAAATGTTCACAATTCCGTTAAGCACGTTTATTCTAAATAAAATTGTTATAATTACTTCTACATCTGTGAATAGATTGCAATTATTCTTAATAAAATATTTTCTAATCATTTCTTGTGGTTTATTTATTCAAACAAAATAGAATTCGATTATGTGTTATAAAATGTTGTTTTTCAGTGTTAATAGATTTTTGTAACAGCAATATTTTTTTTAATTTTCATTAATAATACAATAAAACTATAATCCTCAGGCTCGTATTAATGGAATAACTCAAATACTAAGTTTACCGGTGAAATTTTACTTGATTTTCAATTGCAATCGTCTCGGATAGAGAAGAAATGTGTGTGCACACTCAAAAATAAAATAGTTCAAGGTGATATTTTTAATTTATCAGTGTTTGAATCAGGGCTTGCTTAAGATTTGTGGGGCTCAGGACAAAAGTAATTATATTTTAATCTAAATCATTGTTTTCACAAACGCAAAGCCATAATTCAACAATAAAAGGGCAAAACCCGGGTAACAGTCTCTGCTGCCCCCTCTCCCCATAAGGACACCCCAGTTTGAATCTATTTAACACATTCCGCTCGATCCTCTCATTGTTTGATACTTTCGCTAATAGCGCGATCATATTCAAAGAATAACGAGAAACATTATTATAGTTATGAATTGATGTTTTCCTAACTGAGAGCTGAATTAGTGTATCGGAGGTCTCGACCGCATCATAATGATCGATTCGTGACTGTTGAGTTGGTCTACAAGCGACGGAATGACATCAAACACACCGATAAATATTTATTATTTATTACTTGTATACAAAGCGTTTATGGGGGTACCGTGTCTGTACAGAACATATTAAAATAATAAAAATAGTCACCAACAATGGTGTACACCAATCCATAAAATAAAACATCAAGTACAAACGATTCGTGAAATCGAAACAAACACGATTTATAATGAGACTCTAAATACCTTCTATTCTATTCGGATTATATAAAACTCGTGTGTGAAAAAGGGATATCGAAAGTTTCGGTCGCACAACACCTATGCCAGTTTTTTGACACATCCTGTTTTTACTAACTCTACCGTATTTAACATACCATAAAAAAAATAATGATAGGGAGAGGTACTGTTCGTTGACGCGCGCCGCTCAAGATATAAATCCAATTAGATCTGGTACAATATAATATTGACGACACAAAGAGAAGTGTACGTGCAATTGTGCGCGGGGGTTAATAGTAATGTAAAAGGGAATTACGTTCACAAAAGGGGTTAAATCTGATGGCCGGCCAAATTGATATCGAAGTGTTCGTCATTGTTTCTTTCATCAAGTCTCTATTCATTCGGCACGTGCTTTTGTGTATGTGTGTCGTGAGTGTGTGCCGGCGGCGGTGACTTTGCGTGTGCCTACTATTACGTTTGTATCTAACTGCAGGCAACGGCTCCACTACAAAACTGCATAACCTGTTTCGTTATATTTATTTTTCTCGGATGTCTTCATTTCGGTCAAATGTTCACCCCGAGGCATTCACGACAGTGTCCTCTCTCGAATGCCGGTCAACATCGACCACATACGACCGAATGTACACGTGCATTTTGAAATACCTTTGCGAATAGTTATTGTAATCTTTCATTTGAGTGAAGTCATTTAACACATAGAGCGGGGAGAATGCAAATGAATGATGTAATTGTAAATTGATTATTCCTCTCAGAATTCTCGGTAGATATTAATTTAGATAAGTCAATTCTAATGCTCAAGTATAAATAAGAAATACAAAATATTAAGTATAAAATAACTTTTAAGTATAAATAAAAAATGTACACTTATGCATCTCTTTTTAAAGATGTATTTACAATTACCCCATTTGTTTACAAAACAAAAAGAACCTTATAGAACTAATAAATTAATTAAGATAGAATGTATTTAATACGATAACTATGTCATTGGAATGAGTTCGTAGATAGACTTGGTTTTGAATTTTTTCAACATAATCGCGAATAAATTCCGTTCAACGGGCAAATAATTTTACAATACACAATTATATTTGTAATGTTAAAAAAATATATATATATATAAATGGTAGAAGATGATCTAAAATATTGTCTGGCCAAGTAAAATAATCAGTCAATATGATGCACATGCATAATATTATTAATTAATTTGACTATGATTTACACATACCGTTCAACTTTGCTATAGCTTTCTAATAGTGAAAATCCATCTCTTATTATTCCACAATTAAGAAAAAGTTGCCGTCAACACTAACCGAATGTAAACAATCATCATAACTTATGCGTGAACTTATTAAATTTATTTTAGCGTTAAAAAACCGAAGGGAAGAGGGTGAGTCGCCCTAGCACATTCATTCAAACTCTTTATACTTTCGTTCCCTCGAATCTCGACGTTATCATTACCAATCAGTGGTTTGTTGTTTATAAATGATACACAACACCCTTCATTGTGTTATTATCGTTGCCATCAGCCGGCACATTCTACTCTATCCAGTTTGCAATGTCAAAAGCACACTAAGTGTTCTTTATGGTTGAATACATGCTTATCTATCGTTACTAATTTCCTTTTTAGAAGTGTGAGGGAAAATCAATTGTAAAGTTAAATTTTATTGTGGTCGTAAAAAAATCTTATAAACGTTAACTAAGTTCAAAGAATTCAATTTTTCGCGATTTTATATTTTAAAACCGACAGAAGTTGTTTATTTAATTTTCGTAGATGTATTTTTCATAATAATTAGATTATATAAAAGTTCATTTCTCGTTAATTACTTAACTTTCATTAAAACAATGTAGAATTAAACGGAAATTACTCAACTACATTTAGTTTCTTATAAATTACCCTAAATACAAAAATGTTCAATATCAAATTATAATTAATGTCATTAAATAACTAAAGATCATTTCTCGGTTAAAGCATAATTCAAAAAAGTATGAAACAGTTAAAGTATTAAAACTCTGAATAACAGGTAGCCTATATAACCTAACTTTTTAATTAAATTTAGCCTTTATACAGATATTATTCATTAGCGAGTTAGGTTTATGATAAGCTTAGAATTATTGGTATGTGTATATTCAATCTAAACATTTACCTAATACTATAGGCGCAATTTGAACAAAATGTTGAAGATCTAACTTAATTCCTCACCCGCTCAAAAATATTTCTATATAAACTTACGTGTAATTTTCAATATTTGGGGAAGTTGCAACATAATTAGCAGGGCTAAGATACCTCGCGATTGCACTTGCGCCTAATAGATTTTTAAAAAAGTTCAAAAATAAATCCACTTAACCAACACTATCTCCAGTTACCTATTATTATGTTTTCGGTAATAGTATTAATTTTTCTCTACAACGACATCAAGGTAAGTTGGGTCACTTTTTAATTGGAAATGGAAATCATCCAAATACTTTTAAAAGGAAAATGTTAATTATAATTATATTTTTACTTTCGTGGACGACTATTCTTTGTGTTATACCTATTTCAGTAATTTTTGTTGAAAACATTTTTTAAAAAATTCACAAATCCAAATGATAAAACAACAAAATCTTAATTTTATGTAGTTTTCCCTGTCTTTGTTCAATGCTGTTCTAATAGTTGTTAATTTGTTAAATTATGGCACAGTCGTACCACAATTGCCATTGTTACTATTGCTTAGCTAAACGGTTTGGGGGTTACGACGAGTGGCAAACACTTGTTGCGCTTCGCATTTGTGAAAAACTGGACGCACCAATGAGAAAACAGTCTACGATCAATAATAGGCGGGAACTGCGATACACGATTGGCGGCGATCGCGTTAACCGACCACGATTACCGCGTGTGCCACACGCACTTTGGACGTCGTCACGGTTGGCCTTTTGTCGCAACAGTCACATTGAGAACTGGCGCAATTCATTCGGTTACCACAAGAAGACGTGTTAAGCTGGCAACTGATATGAACAAAATAACGGCCGTTACGGCGGCCACTTTGCTGTTGCAGCAGCAGCAGCAACAGCCGAGACACCATCGGCATCAAGAACGCGGAAATCAAATTTCACACGGTGTAACAAGTAGAAACCACGTCGATGGTCGTACGACTCCGATATCCGATTGTTCGAATCAACAGTCAATTCACATAAAAAGACCAATGAACGCGTTTATGGTGTGGTCCAGAGGACAGCGGCGCAAAATGGCTCAGGAAAATCCCAAAATGCACAACTCGGAGATCAGCAAAAGACTAGGGGCAGAATGGAAATTGCTAACTGAACCACAAAAACGACCTTTCATTGACGAAGCCAAGAGATTGAGGTAAATATTGCTGATTTTTATTTTTTAATTATTTAAGGATTTTTTGCAATTGCTCAGGAGACACGGAAAACGAAATAACATTAGTATTTATCTCTGTATATTAGATATCTCTTTTAAAGATATTAGCTTTTCTAGTGGACGGACATACTCAGTGATCGGTACAACAAAACCATTGAAAAAATGATTCTCTATCAAAATTACAAAAATGAGATTTCGAGATGACTGAATTTGTGTTGGATATTTCCATAAAAAACTTATAACGCTTAAATTTGGTACGAATCAGCAGTGAAACATTACATTTAATAGAAAAACAAACTTAAATTTAAAATTGAGAAGTTATGATTTTTATTGAAAATAGATATTTAACAAATGGTACTTAACCTACTAATTTTTTTTTAATTTAAAAAGATTATAAAAGTTTATTTCCTCATTATCGTAACTATTCGAATATTTGGTTGCACATTTTAATAGTGGCAATTACTCTGTCTAAACAATGTAGGTCGATTTTGTCACAATTAATCCAATGTTTATTATTCATTAGATGTATACATCATCTAATTATCCTAATTTCCTAACTTTTAAATGCACAGTGACATAGGCAATGGAGAGGGAACTAGGGTCATAGCCCCTCAGGAATTTAGCAAAATTATATGTAGTGTTATGTAGAAATAATTTTTTGGAGGAGAAATTAAATTTAGCTCCTCAAAAAATATTTACCAACATACGCCTATAACAGTGTGTAAAGAAATAGGCAAATTATTTACCATTTTGGTCGTTACCAGTAAAGACTTGCATACGTAATGTATTTCACTGGAACTTTTAATCGGTTAATGCTATTTATAGTAACTTCTAATGATTTTAAAACGATTTAATCAAATAACTTATCACTACAAAAACGTATTTTGTCCTCATCTTAGAAAGAACAATTTCGTGTCAGCAAACATGCGAGGACAAGAAGAATTTTGTACTTTAAAGGAAACTTGCATAGTTACTATTTAAACTAATAAAAAAATAATAATAATACTGAAAATATATTTTAGCGCTTCTAACATTCATTACAAAACTACTTAATTTGTTTCAGTCGTTCTGCTTTGGCCCGTGTCTTAATGTGGTGGTCACTTATTGACTGAAAATCCGTTAATAAGACGAAATTTCACTTGTAGTGGGAGTTATTTTATAGACTGCTCGTTGTGATAAACCACTATTGTGTTTATAAAAACCGTTGTATTGATATTTTGGAGTTTCGTTTTGTTGATACGGCAAAAATCAAAACAAATAGTGAAACTCGTTGTAATCACGTGCTTTGTGCTGCAGTTGTATTTCCTACAGAGTTTAGGAGGTGTTTACAACAATACACCTGGTAGATGGAATGCTTCGACACTAATAGTGTACTGAACAATACGGGAAACAAATGACGGCGATTCGTGTGTGACTTTCGATCGACGACGGTGCCTTGTATGGACTTTGCTATCGAAGCGCACAATATAATACGACCGGTCACAATACTCGTGTAATTGTGATAAATTGCTTTTTTCGTGGCCGATATCTATGAGTTTTACCGACACAACAAATAGATTCTTTAATAAGTACAAACGCATAACCGAAAATCAATCACCCTGTCCAGATGATTATTGTTATCATTGCCCGCTGCTTTTTAACAGTTACTGCGGATTTATCTTAGAGTGAAAAACACAATAGAGTTAATGAACAAAATTATTTTTATGGTCCGTGTTATAATATTTGCGGTAGGTCCAGTCACGGTATCGTTATAGGCACGAACGAGTCAAACAATTGCGTTGAAATGAATTCAACGGAGCTTTTCTCAATTAGAGTGATTATTAAGTAATTATTATTACATAGCTGCATAAAAACCACAATTCTTCTGTTTAATTTGATATAAAAAAATATTCAATCATAAAAATTTAATATCTAATATGTAAATATAGTCGGCTATTTTTTTCCAATCAAAACAGAATAAATAATACAAATACAACAGTTTTAAGGTGTTTATAGCGGTTAAGAATGTAAACTGATGTTTTTTTTTTAAACATTTTTAGGGCACTTCACATGAAAGAACATCCCGACTACAAATATCGCCCACGTCGAAAGCCCAAGGCGATGGTTCAAAAGAAAGAGCAAATATCCAACTGTCCAACTAGCGGCAAGGGATGTACGGTGCCCTATTCCGTACGCGACTTGGTTCCGCAAGAGTCGATTGAGGCAACAGGACCCCCCGAGCATACCGGAGCGGCCGTGGTGAAATTCCCACGCGCATACTTTTCCCCGTATCACCATCACCCTCACCATTACCAGCCGTCTTTCTACCATCAGGTCGCTAAAGATCTGTCGGTAAATGCAGCTGTCGGAAGCAACGAGACCACCGGAAAAACCGTCCACGATTTGGCTCTACACGCACTTTATGAAAGTTCGCTATACTCGCGTGCCGTATCGTTGGCTACCGCGTGGCCCATTATGACTGCCGCCGCAGCTGCCACGGCCACTGCCACTCTTTGTCCCGTCAACTGCACAGAATGCAGTGACAGGCCACCACTTTCCGTACACGAATCGTCGCGGTCCTCCTCATCGTCGCCACCGCACCCGCCGTCGTCTTCCACAGCGTCGCCCACTTCACTTGTCAAGCGTCCAATTGCGTTGGTCGTTAAACAAGATCTTATGCCGCCTCCTCAACACGTCATATGAAAGCCATTGCCGGTTCTACCGGAACCGGCTCCTTCTGTTCCCGCCGAAATTCATTGCAACAGCAACTGGTCTCGACGACAGTGGTCACCGTCCTCGCCTTCGTCTCCAACGTCTTTGGCGTCATTCCCACAACCACCATTAATGCCAACCCAACCGCCAACACCTTGGTGGTTACAACAACTTCAGCAACAGTTGATCATGTGCAACAGGAACGCGATCCGTACAACAGAATCGCCAGATCGTAGGATCGAATAGGTTAACTACCAAAAATCAAAATGCATTTAATTATATACAAATGGTACTTAAATTATTTAACTCTATACGAGGTGCTATTGCGTGTAGTGATCGCTCTTATTTAAGTTTTCTGATATATTTACTCAAATAACGATTATTTCCGGCTCAGAAAGTAATACAGCGTGAACCAGATCTAATTGACAGCTCTTGATAACTTTTGATACAATTAATATTTCGTCTAGATTTTCAAAAATAATTTATACATTCTTAGACCACGTTAAAATGATATTTTTTGTTATTTATTTTTTAAAATAATAATAATTAAAACATTTCTATTTTTTAGTTATGAGAGTTGTCAGTTAGAACTGGTCTACTCTGTACATGAACATGATTTTGATTGGAAAAATAAATAACAATTAACTTACAAGTCACTTTACCACTCGACGTGAACTTCTAAAGTGTTTTCAGTTATTTTACTTTATCACTTCTGTACGAATATTAAATTAAAGTGAAACACCAGTAACAACAGTCTCAAATACTTAAAAAATAATAAAGATATAACATCAAAGTGAACGCGTATCTTATGTTTTTACGCTGACACTAATGACACATAAATTTGTTGCAACTTGTACAATCAAAACGCATTAGCTGTTACTGTGACAGTCTTTATAAACTTTTAAATGTTGACACATTTTACATAAGAAAAGTTGTTGTGCGTACAGATAAGAGTATACGATAACCTTAAGTTGATTGACTGGTCTATTGTGTTTTTAGAGTCATTTTTATAATTATATTGTACTTTTGATTTATCGCGAAAAATCAATTCAATTTATAAATAAGTTATTCTTATAAATACATTTCTATAACAAACAAATGTGAAATAAATTTTCTAAATGAATAATATTCGTACGCAGAGAAATCAATAATACTTCTGTCATCCATTTTAAATTAGTTCATGAATATAATAGTCTTTTTACAGACTCATTGTCGAATAACGTAACAAAAATAAAATATTTTATTTTTATAAAACTGATTACATTTATAGAAGGCAAAGTATATCCATTCATATGATAAAATTCATTTACAATGACCCACCCGTTGTACAAACAATCTAATTCATTTAAATTATCTAGTTAACGCCATAAATACATTTATCATGTATACTAGTTAAAACATAACATATTGTTTTTTATGTAAAATATTTTTTCACGAATCGTGCAATAGTAACATTGTAATGTCTTAAATTAATATATTTTTGTTTTTTATCTAGTCGATATGAATTAGTTAAATTGTAGTGATGTAATCCTATTGCTCCTGTCAGTCATTACAAATTTACAAATGTCCATTATATAAATATCACTAAATTAAAATGCGGCCTGTCTGCGCTGTAAAATATATATTAAATTTATTTTAAAAATGTGTTTTATTGTAGTAGAAAGTAAGTGTTTTTTTTCTTATGTGCTTTAAAAAAAATAACAATAAAACATATACATATACCGATTAACAGATTTTATTAAAAGGGTAGTTTGTCTACGAAGACTAATGAAATATTTGCCAAGGTCAGAGTAAACTTTTACATTGACCTCGTGTGTGTGTGTGGAAATAACGAGGAGACTAACGCCACAAGAGGAAATAATATTCTGTGTGCGGACACATCACGTCTACTGGTACTGAGAGAAAATAAGATTTTTAACGCTTCAAATTGTATCCTTTGTTGGGCGACAAAAGGCAGCGGTGGTTGTTTTTTCTATTTTTTTCCTAACTAGAAGTCATTTGGTGTGGCGGCTGTGTAAGTAACAACGACCATCGTCGCCAAAGAGTCACCCCTTGTAAAGAATAGTACATGGTTTAACCCTAAAACGCGTGATCCGAATATTTAATGTCGTCTGAAAAATAATAATGAACTAGTGAATCGGAAAAATATTGGCATTTGAATAAATGTGTGTATTATATGTGTGCAATATCTACACAGTATTCAAAATGTTGCTCGACCTACGCACAACATAATTTAAACACAACTAAATCTATGCCACGAGAATGTCAAATGCAAACTGATTTGAGTAGCACACAATGTTAGAAAATTTGCAGCATTCATAATAGTTAAAATTACAATTTTTTGTAGACAGAAATGTTTACACATTGACAATAGCTAGGGAACCAATTTGAAATAAAGATTAGTTTAGAATACAATATGAAATGTGTAAAAATAAAACTGAAATCGAGAGTCAGTTATGCGTTTGAGCTATTAACAAGTAAATAATAATCGTACAGAGTTTAAAATTGATTTAACATTGGCATATCTGTGACTTTATCTCAAGAGGAGATATTGAGGTAGGTCAACTCCCTTTTAAAAAATTGTAAACAATCAAATAAATATATTTTTGGAATAGAGGCAACTGCCCCTGTTTACCCTTCAAATACACCGTTGCGGTTTAAGGAGTCTAAACCTTGAATAATGAAAACTCTGTATTGTTATTACTCTCTTTTTCGTTATAAAATTATAATTTTTTGACAAAAAACTAGACAACAGGTTTTAATAATATAATTATTAAAATAAATAATATTTCATAAGTTATGAAGTATAATTTTTATTGATAAACGTTGTCGAACATAAGACTTTATTCGTAAAATCCGCACAGTCGTAATTATAGAGGAGAAAGATATGAGTTTCATACACTCCCAATGACAAAAATAACAACTCGATGTAAACGCAATTTTTTTTAACTATAGGGAGGATTAATTATTTATTTTTATATAATTCCCCTCCTCGAACAAAGCTCTAGATATGCTACTGAGAAACTTATATATGCTGTCGTAGGTAGTTTTTTTTTTATAAAAAAAATACATATAAAAATAAATAAATAAATTTTTTTTTTTTAACAATTGAATTAAAAGGAATCCGAATACAAGCAAATTTTAGCTTATTTTTATGTTAATTATAAATTAATGAGCTAAAGTTAAAAAAAACTTCACAATACCCCACTTACTCAAAAAATTTGCTAATAACATAAAATGTACACGAAAAAAAACGTATAAATCAATATATGTTTTGCCATTTAAAGCCGTTTTATAGCGGAAACACTCATTAGTATTGTCATGAGGATATGTAACATTAAGTTATAATTAGCTTTTACTATTTTAGGTTATTTACAAATTGTACTAGAAAAATATTCGTATTATTCATAGGCGTTTAAAATTGCAAGTGGAAAGACAAGAAAGAACTAGGAGTGATAAATGATGAATAGAATGATGAGCTAACATTTATTCAAGTCTTGTGTCAGATTATCAAAGAACGTATGAATATTCCGGTGGAGAAAATCGTTTTCCATAATATGAAGTACTTGCCGTGTAATGTTTTGTAATTACAAAAGTCGACTGGAATATCGCAATTTAAAATCAAAATAGAAAATAAACACAGTTACCGTTTAAACGCAATGTACAAAATAGCGCAACACTAAGCGGCGGCGACTGGTTGTGCAGAGAGGCGTTAGAGCAAAGTGGCGGAAAATATTGTGCTCGGGACGCCCAGAGGCGGCGCTCGATTTCCAGCCGACTGTGGTCTACTTAATTGGACGTGAAATCGCTTGATAGAATGTTCGGTGGACCGTGTGGCCGGCCGCTCACAAGAGGAAATTCATTTTTTCGTCACCCCTTTTACCATAAAAACATTATTATTCGTTTAAAAGGTCAATTTGAGCGACTACACCGAAACAGATTGGCAACACACCCGTTGCAATGGACGCGATCACATTTGTGTTCAATATTTTGACAGTTCCTAAAAAACCATACGTCGTGTTATTGAATGTCTTGCCGAATGATCCTAAGCGCGCCACATAAGACAATACGCGTGTACACCACAAAAATACCAAATTTTTTTTTAATCAGACCAATCTCACTATCGACCGATTTCTAACGGTCGTTTTTTGCTGAACCGCGTCCAAAATATGGCTAAACCACAACTTAAATGCCATTTCTGGATAGCACTCGCTTCGTACTAACCTCTAATATAAAACGCAGGACTTGTATGGAAAATGAAACTTGAAAATTAAATGCAAACATTTGCTATATTGTGAACACAATTTAAAGACGTTTTGAACTCCATACTTCTTGTAAAAAGTTTTTCTAAAGGAAAATCTGTATTTAATGCAACAGCCAAGTTACTTATAATTCCACGTCCTTTTTCTTCTCGTACGAATTATTGTCACGCGTAGGGACTTATTTTCCTTTGGGACAAATTATACAGAAACTGGTTAAGTACCGAATTGCCATTAAGGACAGTTGTTATTCTTTCAAATGCTGTTAAGGAACGACACTGTTGTAGCCGAGGTGTAAATTAGTGGAGTACAATAACACTTCTAATTGCAGCAGCTAAACGCCGTGATAGAAAAAATCCATACAACATTCTAATATAATAATACACAGATTCCATTCATTCAGTTCTGTGGTGTTTACAGTATATGAGCGTTAATTTGCATTTATTTTTATGCCAATACAATCAACGAATCCGCGAACCGCTTTGCTACGTCTTCAATGAGTTGTAATTTCGACTATTCTCTTTTTTATTCAACTTTGACGAAGAAAAATGCGTTTTTTCAATTATGATAATAGCGAATTTTAAGGGAAAAAAGTATTAGCTTTTAAACTATCATCTTCAGGCTTTTAAAAATCTTCTTTTCTTTCTTTAACACTTAGAAAATGCTGATGAAATAACGCATTTCATACAACACTATGTTACAATGAATATCAGTATTAAAAACACAGATACATAGAATAAAAACAATTTACTCGTAAAAAATACCGGTGTCATATTAAAAACGTCCTGGTTTTTGGTATAAAAATTATGACGGATTAAAATATAAGTATTATAAACATGTGCCTATAGTTGAACATTTTTTAAAAGATTTTCTTTTATATGGACGGTAAATTTCGGTGACTAACCCAACAAACCATTTCCTGTTTTTTTATAAATCTGTCATGATTTTAACATGTTAAATAATTAAATATATTAAGAGGCGCGACTATGTTATTAATTATCAATAACATAGCAGAATCTTTAGTCTAGATATTGATGGTATTAAAATTAATTACAATTGCTGACCAAGAGACTAACAACTTTTTGTCTTTTGGCTATCACATTTCAAAAGTACGGAATGGCACCCTCATAAAGTTTACTTATTTTAGGGTATAATAATATGTTAAGCAAAAATATAATAACATACAAATTTTAACTAGGCGGTTCGGCGGCAAAGGCCTCACGATATTTATTTTAGCATTTTCATTGGTTAGCTGTGAAAAATCCTATTAAGCCCAAGCCAATATATTTATATGTACCTAATAAAATTAAATGTCCAATGTAAATTATAACAATTTTTACCAATCACGAAACCGTTTAACGTGTAAATATGGTCCTGCTTATTACTGAAAGTCTAAACTCAATAATATAAGTTCAATAATTGCTCTTGCCAGATCAAATTTTTCAACTATTAAAAAATAGTTGTATGTAATACGACTACAATTTAAGTTTTTTAATAATTTACGACGACAAAAGTACGACTGTAAATTCATTTTTAGAAGTACATCGAAAATCAAATAGTTCTACAAAACTTGTTATTGGTTCATGATCAACACATTTAATGTTGTAATTAAGAATAATTATTGTTCACTTAAGCAATATATTACTATCTTATCTCTTTATTGTGCACCGTTTTATGCTTTTCGGTGTATAAGATTAATTAAACTTTTATCTTGATAATTTCATAATGATAAACGAATATAACAGCACAAGTCTACCGTTATAGCTGATGATATTTTGTAGAACTTGAAAGTTGCAAATAAACTTCTTGTCTATAGAAAAGCAATTATATTTTTATGATAAACGAGGACACCAAAAACTCAGAACATTAACTAAAAAAGAGTTGATAACAATAATAATACGAAATGAAAATATGAGATATTCAATTACATTATGTGTCTTGTAGCAGTCGTAATTAATGTGGTAGCTCCGAGTAATTACCGGCCGCTAATAAACTTTTGGAACAATCCGTACAGAGAAGATATGTATCTGGAGGATATGACTGTTCATTAGGAGAGGTCGGCCGTTGGTATTAACATCTTTGGCTCGTAATTTGTATATCGTATCCGCCGCGTGCAGTCGACTAAAGTTTAACGGGAAGCACACAACAGTCGCATTTCAGACAAGAATTGCTATTCCAACGTTTCCGTTGTTAATAACAGAGACATTAATATTTTTTATATATTAAATACAACCAAGGAATTAATTGTATTATTCGACTTAAACAACGAGTAATTAATCAAATAGAATGTCTCAGTTTTATTTACCCTGGACACCGAGATGAAAATATTTTTTAAGGAAAATGGAATTCTCCAAGTTCGGCTGGAACATTTGTGTACCCTAAGCGATGGCTAAATTGTTGAAATACGACATTTTATTTTTAATAGACTGATAAGATTAGTCCGAAAATATGAAATATCGAGTAAATATTTTTTGTATCAAAAACTATAAAGAGTTCAATAAATTATTAATATCTCATCTTTTACTGGATTGAACGGGCTGCCGGTCGGATCTAGAATGTCGACAAGTACAGACACGTGAATATTATTTTTGGCTTTTTTATATTATTATACGTGTAACGACATAAACGTCGTATAATATTCCTATGGACAGCTTTCGAAGACCGATAACAGTTCGACTGTGACCAAGGAAAAAGTATCGAGCAGAATAAGTGGTCAAAAAAAGGAAATTACGATTTTTATCGCGTTGGATATTTATTATTATAACGGCCGGTAGTTTTCTTTCTATCACTAAAACCCTTACATACTTTCAGCAAAGGTTACGAAAACTAACGGCTTGAATAGAAACATTATATCCATGGTGTGTTATAAATAGTCTAAAGAGGACTGCAATGACAAGTATGAAAGTGAAAGCTTTATTTTTTTATGATCGAAAAAAAGGAGCCCGTGTTCCCTTAAACATCTGTAAATATTCACTTACTCGACTACCAACGAACATTCACTGTGGAAACTTGGAGATATTTGTGTGAATGATCGTGTACTCGAATGGACGACCCTTTTTTCGATTATTTTATTACGCTATTTAATCTATAAGCTTTTTATCAATGGCAATACTCGACTGAGTTCGCATTTTAACGCCGAACGTTGCGTATTTATATTTATTACCACTTTAATCATATTAATTTTTTATGAATTTATTGACTAGTAGAAAATTCTTTATGGGCTCCCTATCTTATTGTATATTCAAAATATTGTCATGTATAAACTTTGATCAAAACATGTTTCGAGGGGACATTCGAAATCAAATTACATGTTTGTGTGAAAAAAAAAGCCTTGTTTTTACTATAATATTACTGCCAAAGGAAGATATGACTTAACAAAATCAAGAAATTAATTCCCATTGTCCAAAAATTACATTATAAATTTGCAGCCGTTCCCTTTTCTTCTTATTTACTTTTTTGTCGTTTTGAAACACTTTTATTATACTGTTACTCGTTAAACCTCATTGTTCAAATTAGTTGTTTTAACAATTTTCCAATTAATTATAAAAAGAATTCAGGAATAATATAGAACAAATCAAATTATTATTATAATTTTTCTTAAAAAGTGTTAACACAACACGCAAATTGCAGATGCTTTTTTTTAATTTATAGAAAAAATTTACAGGAAATAAATACATGCGCATAAAATACTGTTTGAGATAACATTTGTTGTATATAATCGTCGAGTTTAAGTTTGTATAATAAACGTTTGTACAGACCGTTGGTAGCCACCAAGATTTTAGAAATATAATTTTGAACAATTGCTGGTGGGTGCCATACTGAGGAGGGAGTGATCTCCCTTATATCCCACACAAGATAATTTTTATTTTAGAGTAAGCCGCACATAATTTGCTTAAGGATCGCGAATTTTCGCTAATATCATAGGCGCAATTTGGGGAGGAATTGAGAGAATATCAGTCACCTAAGCGGGAATTGATGTAGCTTTTCGTCCAAATATTTTCAAACAACTTGAAAATTAAGCATTCACGTATTGGCTACACGGCGTCAGTTTTAAAGATCATTAAATCAATTTTCATTACAAAATAATAATTTTAAAAAAAGTGCATTTTACCGCCATAGAGTTAAAACAGGGCATATTAAATATTCATTGAAATTTATAGAATATTCATATTTATTATAATATAATTATATAAATAAATAATAGATTAATATTGTAAATGTGTATAACTCTCTTTTATTACCATTTTAACTAAACTAATTGATTTATATTTTTATTTAAATTAATTTAAAAAGGAGAAATGATATAATACAGATAACCTTGGTGATTTTTTATGTAACTCATAAGTCTTTTATTAAAATATTTTGGAATCTCTTGAAAATTAAATATTGTTTATGACATTATGCCAATGTTAAAAATTTATTTTATAAGATAATCTTAAAATAATATTATACTAGGACTAGTATTACCCCTTAAACATACCACTAGACAATAATCAATTTATTTCATTGAATATAACCGTAAATCGTTATTTTTAAAACAATATACGATTCTTTGCAAAATTTGTACACTTACACATGCGAGAGAAAAATTTTATAGAAATTTTTATATAAAAATGAAGTTGAAAATCGCGAAAATTTAAAATGGCTGTTAAATAAAAAAAATACATTTTGGGGAGAAAAAATTATTATTATATTACCACTAATCGTCAATTTTTAATAATTCCCTACAAGAGTATTTATCATATAACAACACATTAATCTGAATACGAATAATAAATTTAGATGCATTTTAAGTGTAAAGCCAAATAAATATTGGTGTAAATGATCAAATAATTCATAAATTATAATAGAAAGATATAACAAATCTAAGATCAAAAATATAATTATCAATAGCCATTTTGTCGCAAACAAAATGTTCTACAATTTGATAATGTGATGTTAGGCATTTTTATTTCATAATTTTGGAATTTTTTTTAGACAAAAACATTATGAAATATATTCATGATCAACAACATGGTTTATTATACACGTGTAAAAGCTAAGATTGAGGGCGACTGTAAACGTTTAAAGACCATAGTTTGTGGGGAAATGGCAACCGTGCAAACGGCAAGATAATAATAAAAGGCGTAACGACAAAAACAAATAGTTCGGACAGAGCTAACGCATTTGTTTCAAAAGATGACAATAATCCTATTCACTTTGTCCGTGGTCGAAAAGCGCAGAAGGGTAATAAATCAATTATTATCTGTTCATGATACAACTAGTCGTGGTAGACGGCCATCTATGTGTACCCGGTTGCGAATGGGGGTTATAAAAAGGCAATAAAATAGAAACTGTAAAGTTTGAACTACTTCGGAGTGTATAAATGTTATTCTTTAGTACCGAATGGATACGGGGATGGTGTGAGGACGTCGACGCGCACACAATAACACAGGGTAAACCCAGTATCAGGGAGAAGTATGGCAAGGTGACGTTTGGTGGCAATTTTTAAAGGGTGTGGGAAACCACAGATAAGGAACAGTGTAAGGTTTTAACATAATAGAGAGAATAATGCAGCGAAGAGAATATAAGCCAACCCACTATCTTTTCTTTTCATTTCCGCCATTTTGCCCCCTTACACCACCAGAGGTTATTATTTTGCTTCTTATGTTTCACATTCCTGCAGGCGACCCTTTTTCTCTTCTCTTTTGTACAATCTATATATTTATATTTTTCCTGAGTCCGCAGTCTTCTCTGTTCGGCTATTAAAACCACCACCATTTTCCGCAACCAAAGTATCTAACATCGCTGATAACAACCGTGATGCTACAGTAAATAAAAAATAATATTATACATAAACCGTTAAATCCCGTCTTTTTACACTGTATCAAAAGCATTATTTGTTTTTCACACTGCCAAGTAATCTAGAATTTTAAAAAGACCATCAAAATTTTTAATTTAAAGCGATAAAAAAAAATTGAATTGTCTCATATTTTATTAAAAGATCATCATTTATAACTATTATTGGTAGACAGGAACGCCGCATTTTAGAGTTCTGCCGCTCTATGTAAAATGTTAAATGATAATAATATTTTGATTTACATTTTTTTTTGAGATGATGAGAAAAATAAATCTTCAACGCATGAAATCCACATATTCCAATGCCAATAATAAACCTAGTATTTTCTTTAGTACTAACCTCAGATTGGTAAAAAAAATCAGATGATTTTGTGAGCGCAGGGTTAATCTTTGATAACTCTAAATGTATTATACCAACGAATTTGAAATGATGTTACTGAAACTATGTTTACTCAACCGTACACGAAACTCTATTTTTTTTTTTAGTGAACACTATGACTAGCGATTAAGGTTTCGGGACTTTATGCATTTATAAAATTTGTTTGGATCACATCCGAGACACCCAACTACATGCGAATTGATCATAGGTACATACAGTAAAACAAGAACTTGTGTGTTGTAAGGGAGAGTGATCCCCAAAATTAAAATCCTAAACTAATATGCATCGATTAGAATTAAGACAAAAAAACGAACATAATCTATTTACCATTGATGTACTCAGGATGATCAAAATAAACTTCATAAATGTATAAAGTCCTGAAATCTGCTAATGATTCTTTGATTATGACTACTATTATGCATACAATGAAATCTACGTTTTAAAGAAATTATTTAATTGTCTTTGATAAGGAGTTAAAAATAAAACAAATCTATAAACTTTCACCATTTTATTAACTTATATTATTATAATAAGATAACCATTTATGCAAGGGTAACTTTTTGCATGTTTCTATTGAAATTTTCCTTTGTTTTCCCAGTGAATAATTCATGTCTATCAATAAAATATTATTTTATAATATGTACCATATATTTACAATTTTTAGTTAGATAAGTATACTTACATTCGTTTATATTTGTCAATTTCTGTTTTACTTAATGATGGCTTAGTTTGTTCCAAGGCTAATCGAAAATGTTCCGCAGTAATTTTAAAATTCTAAAAAATGTTTACTTTTAAATTCAAATTACACCGAATAATTTATTAAATAAAGAAATCGAGTTAATTAGTAAATTTAAAAATATTTTATAATTCTATGATTTAGCACTTTAAAATATATAAATGAAGCAACAAATCAATGATTAATTTTTCGAAATTTTGGCAAATTAAATCAATAAATAATAATTATTTGAGTTTTGTAATTGTTACTCTAAGGGTTAGTTTAATGCGAATTTAAAATTACACGTAATAAATATTACAACTTTTTTATAATTCTAAGATTAAATAAAAAATAATGGATATTAATAAAATCAGTTCTAAGAGGACAATCGTTCTACGGGTCACATTTTTTACCCCTATTATCGAACAAGGAAAACCATTTACTTGATTGAATTTTGTTATTTTTAATCGAGCAAACATACCGAACAAAGTACTCGTAAAAACACGATCGCGACAAGTACCGGTACATAAAAGGATTTAATTACAACACATCAAGTGTGCTATTCTACAGACAAGCGATGAGACGAATATTGAGGCCCAAACAACCGCATGATGAGTTCGGTAATGGTAAATCTTTGCCCTCCAATAGACGATACTTCTAAATGGATAAAATATAACATTATTATTAAAACGATTGCTATTCAATTTATTTACATTGAAGACCGTTGGCGGTTCACAGAATCATTATAAAGATTTTACTTTATTTTTGTAAAGCAATACCGTTTTGTATATAAAATGAAATTAAAATAAAAAGTTACTAAAACATACCCTCATTAGTAGGCATCATCTGTAGAATTAGGAATAAAATATTAATTTAAATAACAAATAAATATGAAGGGTATTGAGTTGATGGTGACATAATCCCTATCGCGTGCCGTTCACATGTCTGTTTGGGTTCTTATTTTTATTTATTTTCCAAATCACACATGAACTCGAGGGGTGCAAGTTCTTTTATGTACGGTTAATATTGTTTGAATTCCTCATTTGTTTACTCAATTCCCGCTTTTATGGTCAATAATATTTATAATGTCACATTCTTTATTCAACAAATTACATAAATATCATAAAATAACTAAGAAAAAATAATATTTTTCCTTAATGTTTTTTTAATTAATATAAGAAATATTAGTTTAAGAAGCAACTTACTTTTTTATTATACAGATCATCCAATTCTGAAAAAAATTAAATTGTTTAGATTTTTGGAACTAAAAATCAAAAATAATTTAGGAATAATAGTGAAACAATAATTTTTTTATTTTTACAGTGATGAAAAATCATACACCTCATTATTGGCTAAATGCCAGGCACAAGGTTACAGACACAATATCATGAGTTCAAGTAAAGTAAAGCCACTTAAAAGCATTTAGGATAACAATAGGGACTTTTTTAGGAAAAATTTTCAGTAAAAACATTATTTATAGCATAGTTTTTAATTGAGTCCCTCATTAGAAAAGGTTATAAATACGGTTATACATTTATCCATCAATAATATATACTCTTTAAAAAAATATTTGATTTTTCATATACTTCTATGGGAAGTTTCAAACGCAAACATGATAGAACATTTTGATAAATAGTAATAAAAATGTTATATTTGTATACGAATTTTTTATACTTTATGTCAAAATTACACTACTTGTGTGTAAATTAAAATATATTGACGTATACGTTTTTTTTGAATAATTTGTTACAGTATAAAATTCTTTAAATTTCTCTTCAATTGTGTATTAAATAAAGAGATTAAGTATTATTAAAATTACTGTATTAGTAACAATAACTTCTGATGGTTTTCATACTAATAATTGTTTAAACTAACCTTTTTCACTTTCAAAATGTTTATCTGCTATTGATAAAACGGTGTACAATAATCCATTCAAATCTGCTCCAGTATAATTTACAGTATGATCAGCTATTACATTCAATTTAACGTCTTCAGACAAATTTACATTTTTACAGATTATTTTTAAAATATCCTCTCTGTCATTCTAAAAATTTTACAATTGTTTTAAAGTAGTTTTTAAACTTAAATATATTTAATATAAATTATCATATGAGTAACGAACAACACAGTGTTGAACAAATGTAAATTTTATTATAATTTTAAACAATAATGTTCATTTAAATTAAAATAATATACTCAGTACATTTATTTTAATTAAAACTATTTTTTGGACAACATTTTTATTTAAACAGTGTAGTGCTTGATGTTTTGACAAGTTTAATAAGTTTTTATATACTGAATTTTTGTGTTATTTTTTTTTTATTATTATTATTATTTATGCATTCTTAGGCTACATAAAATTCATATTTTTTATTATTTATTTTTAATAAAAAAAATATATATATTTAATTTTTAATTTTAATTTTTTTTTTTAATTTCAAATAGCCAGTTTTTATTATTTTTATTACAAAAATGATTAATAAGTCGATAACTTTTTTAACATGTAATTATTGAGGTACAAGCGTTATAAATAAACACCAGTACGAGCTGTGCCCAACCACATTTCATATATATTCTATGTATTAAAAATATTGTAACCCAGGATTTGGACCTTTTAAAAAAGAATCTTTAAGTACCGGTCCAATACCGTTTCTAAAAAAAGAATAATAACTTTTTTTTTAACAAGAAGCCTTTTAGATTTCTTTCTTAGTCGGAAACTTTAAAAAATAAAAAGTTAAGAACCCCTAACATAACCTAAACCTCTCAATTTTTCTTTTTTAAGAAACCTCTAATACTGATTCCTAATAATTTCAAAGGTTCCAAAACCTGCTTATAACTCAATAAATACTTTGTTTAATTTATTTGTCTTAAATATTAAATACATTTTTATAATTCACAATGAATAAATATTAAAATTAAAATTTTTACTTTATCAGGAATAGAACAGTGTAATTTTACACCAATTCGACCAGGTCTTAATAATGCAGAATCAATGAGGTCTGGCCTTGAAGTTGCAGCTATTACCCATACACCTTCAAACGTATCAATACCATCTAATTGTGTGAGAAACTGATTAACGACTCGATCAGTTACGCCAGTTTGATCTGAACCTCGTCTAAATTTTAAATAGTCATATGATTAGTAATTTCACTAATTTTACTTATTATAATTAAAAAAGAAATAACCAATTTACCTTGGTGCTACACTTTCAAATTCGTCAAAAAATAATATACAAGGTCTAGCATTCTGAGCTCTATAAAAATAAATTCATATTTATCAACGATAAATGATTCACTAATCTGGGCCCAGGCTCTCAAGATCCTTGTATAAAGTTTTTAACTTAGTGTGGGGTCCCAAAAAAGTGGGCACAATCGCGATCTAGGCATCTGGGTCAGACCGACACTGATTATAAGAACACTAATGCTATCAATAATAAATCAATGCTTAGTATATATATATATATATATATACAGTATAAGCTCTTTTAGCTTACACTATTAAGCAATTAGCCCCTTTCCTCAAACTCAAAATATATTATCGTTTTATTAGATTAACATGTAACAAATTATTTATTAGGTTAAAAAAAGTACGAGTGATCTACTCGTACTTTTTTCAGATCTTTCTCAATTTTAATTATTTTATTTATATTATTTTCTCTAAGTTCTTTTATATTTTTATAAACTTTTACTAGAGTTTAGTTAATGGTGGACTCAGTAGGGAAGCCTGAAGGACTATTGTTGGCTACTAAAAAAAAAGGTTTTCCAGTAATAAATTATAAAAGTTGTTTTTCAAACCATTAAGAGTTTACTACTAATTATAAAAGTCAATATATTTTTATCCGAATATTTGTAAATCATCATAAATTAGGAAAAAGTTGGGAAATTTTTTTTTTACAATCCTGATATTTGGGAATGACCTAATTATTTTATTTTTCTTGAGACTCAAGAACCTAAGCAGTCATAGTATATAGAGTGTTTTTGTCTTTTCTTTTTATTTATCTATTAATTTAAACTATACCTAAGAAATACCCTCCTAACACTTTCTTCGCTTTCTCCAACGTATTTTGAAAGTAATTCTGGTCCCTAAAAAGAAACATAAATAAACTAATTATTATCGATAGAACATATAACTTAAAATTTCTCTTACATTAACAGATATAAAATTCAATCGGCTCTCTCCACCAACCGCTTTAGCTAATAATGTCTTGCCTGTACCTGGTGCACCATATAATAAAATACCAGATTGTAGTTTAAGAGGGCACTTACTAAAAATATCAGAGTGCTAAAATTACAAACAAAAAAAATAAATATTTGAAATATTTTGATATTTAAACACTGTTCACTTACAATTGAAGGCCAAATGATTGTTTCAGTTAATATTTGTTTTGCTTCTATTAAACCACCAACTAGTGAATAATTTATTTTATTTTCTTTAAACAATTTTACATTATGCAGTGAAAGAGGTACAGTTTTTTCAAAAATGTCAGTTAAAATTGTTTTATTCAATTTTTTTTCATCGCCTACAAAAGATACAAATTTTATGACCATAAAACATGTATATTTAAGCAGGATAATTTATTTATTATTGAAAAATTGATTATGCTTAAAAAATAACATTATTTAGAAATTAAAAGTTTTGGGACTTTTAAACCTGACGTGTTTTTTTTCTTTATGACATTATAAATGATAACTATGTTCTAACTGAACAAATTTTACTCATTGGTGCAACTAAAGTGTACAAAACATATCAATTGACATGAATATATCAACGCCATAGTTGAAAAACTACTATCAACCTCTATACTAAAGAAAATGTTCCAATAAATTACAGTTGTAATAAAACAGTCAATATTTATATTTTTAGTTTTCATTCAAATTTAGTTTTAAATGAATAAATTGTTGAAAAATGAACATATTGTTGCAAAATATTTAATGATAATCAAAGCTCGGAACTTAATCTTCTTCTTCTTCCTTGCATTAATACAAACTACTTGGGGTCGGCCATCCTTATCCTAAACTTTCACTTGACACGATCTCCCACATCATCTACGCTCACATCAGCTGTCCTCATATCGCATTCAATAGTATCCCTCCATCTCTTTATTGGTCTTCCTCTGCCTCTTTTTTCTTCAACATTCATTTCTATAACTTTTCTTACAGATTCCAAACTTAATGAATTTTTTAAAAAAAATTTTAAACCACTTATGAAATATTTAACTCCAAGAAAACTTTAATTAACTAAAAACACCCACTCGATGTATTAAAATGCTTGTAACCTGAGACGTCATTTCAGATTTTAGTAAGTTGGGCCAAATTTTTGATCGGCCTATTATTTCACAAAGCAGCCTGCTTTGCTCACTATTTATTTACTAACAATTCAACTTAATATAATAATTATCATAACAGAACTTTTTATAAAATCATTTTAACCGTAATAAGTAAATAATTTACAATACAATTTTCCATGAAAGAACTATTAAAATCAATAAAAAAATTAAATATAAAATATTAGGTATCTTTTTATTAAATTAAAAATTAATTTTTACTACATTTCATATAGTAGTATAAATTGGCTTTTAAGGAAATGGTATGGCCTAGTCAACAAGAGTTTGAATTGATCGGCCCCAGTTTTCATTAAGATTTAGACAAATACCAAAGTTGCCACCACCTAATGATGCCCTTGATTGCAAACACATTCAGTACTTATCCTTGTATTTTTCTACCCAAAATTTTTTCTAAGAAAGGTATATTTTAAATGTTTATTACATGATATCCAACCAATCGGTATTTGTTATTAAGAATGGGATAGATAAGTACGCTTTTCTCACTAAATATTGGTTATAGGCACAATTTTTTTCAATGAAAATTATCATTTCTTCAATAATTACCTAATTGAACATGTAAAATAAATGTAAAAATTTAAACTTTATAGTAATCTAGAATTTATTAATAGACATATTCTTCATTTTCCTCGCCTTAATCCCAAGTACTTGGGGTTGGCAACCTTTATCCTAAACTTCGACTTGATATGATCACTCACATCATCTACGCTCACATAAGCCATCCTCATATCACAAAATTTTTGCTTAAAATTCAGTATACTCTTTATAATTTATAATTTCAAAACTTTTTTAAATATTCATTGTTTTAATTAAATTTTAAAAGTATTATAATTTATATTATTATAAAAATCAAAAAATTTGTTAACACATTGTTAGCTTAGTACAAAATAGTAAAAAAGAAATTTTATGCTACTGTCCAAAAAATGGACAAAATTTTTTTATGTACTAAACAATCAACATTATTTACTTTTAAAAACTTCAAATAAAACTTTATCACAATAATCTAAAATATCTTGAATGACATAAGAATCCATTTTTTCACAAAGCTGCATAATAAAATCTTCATCAACATCATCTTTTTGTTTAATTCTAGCTAAACATCTTGATACAATTATTTTTTTGCTCTCCTGTATTATAATTTAAAAATAATTATTATAAATGATAAGAAAAGGGTCCAATTTTCCATGCAAATTCATCTACCTTATCGATTTTAGGAATATTTATTACAGTTTTGAAAACATCTATGAATTGTTTATTAAATAAATTTTGATTATCTTGACTAAATGGTTTTGAAGTACATATTACTCTAATACAGTTTTGTCCACTAGTATAACAATCAATCATTTTCATCATTAAATGTAGAGGCCTATACATTTAAATACACATCAAAAAGCTTAATAATTTATTTTTTTAATATATAATTGAATAATATGATTATTCCAAAAAAAAATTATTATTTGAGAAATTGTGTTATACATTCATCATTACTTATTTTCTATAGTGATGGATGAAATTACTAGAGAAATACAAAGAGAGGTGCCATGGTGCATGTTGTTTGCAGACGATATAGTGTTAATATGATAGCATAGGATAAAAATTAATCGAAGGCTAGAGGTGTGGAGATCAGCTCTAGAAGAAAAGGGTTTAAGAATAAGTAGAAGTAAGACAGAGTATAGAGAGTACGAATTTGACAAAGGAGAACATGAGGTAGGTGAAATGAGGAGGTCAATGACAATAGGCGAGGATGTGATTGGAGATGTGGAGAGTTTTAAGTATTTAGGGTCAGTTGTGCAAAAGAGTGGTGGTATTGACGAGGACGCAAGACACAGGATTAAGTGCGGGTGGTTAAAGTGGAGAGAAGCGTCTGGTGGTGTCTTATGCGATAAAAGAATTCCAATAAGTCTGAAAAGTAAATCCTACAAGACTATAGTGAGGCCAGCTATGATGTATAATTTAGAGTGATGGGCGGTTGATAAGAAAGTAGAGCAGAGAATGAGTGTAGAAAGATGAGAATGCTTAGATGGATGAGTGGAGTGACTAGAAAAGATAGGATAAGAAAAAAACATATAAGGGGGAGTATAGGTGTAGCATCAATCATGGATAATATGCGAGAATATAGACTTAGTTGGTTTGGTCATGTTATGAGGAGAGAGGAGTTGGAAGCTGTAAGAACAATTATAGAAATGAATGTTGAAGAAAGAAGAGGTAGAGGAAGACCAAAAAAGAGATGGAGGGATACTATTGAATGCGATATGAGAACAGCTGATGTGAGTGTAGATGATGTGGGAAATCGTGTCAAGTGGAAGTTTAGGATAAGGGTGGCCGACCTTAAATAGTGGGGATTAAGGCAAGAAAAAGAAGACTTTTAAAAAAACTTTATTTTACATACCTTAAATAAATATTTGCCATTTCTGCATGTTCATTTGGTTCAGAGTTTAAATGGCATAAATCATCAAAATCATCGATTACTATAATTGCTGGTTGATAATACAAGCACTCTTCAAAATGACTCACCATTTGTTTGAAAACAGTGTCCATAAGTTTTCCTTAAGAAGTATTAATAATATACCAGTTTTTTCAAAAATATTATGTAATATAATATTATATTATTAAATATATTAAAACCTCTTTTTAGTTAATTTTATTATCACTTCTATTTTGTAATAACAATTTTAAAATGGGGTAGCAAATTTAAAGATTGTGCCTGAGAATTGAAACTAAGACAGTGGGATATAAAGAATGATGCCATAGCAATGCTATTAACTTGTCCTCACTATTTTCTCATTAATATTAAAAGGTTGATTATTAAATTATATTTATGTATGTTGAGTTTTGAAATAAAAAAACTTATAGTAAAAATACCTGCTAAAAAACGTCCATTTACCCAAATTATTTTTACAAAATATGGACTACTGAAAAATTTATCACAAAAATATTTTGCAGTTGTTGTTTTTCCTGCAGCAATAGGTCCTATTAATCATTTTTAAAATGTAAATACATTAACTAAAACTATTTTAAATGTATGAAAAAAATACCTATGATTAACAAATTGTCAGCAGAGAAAAGACTACAAGATAAATTATCTTGACACTTCAAACCAAGTTCTAAACACAGTAGTCCACTTAACTTTATTTCATCAAAACATCTAAAAATAACATGTTTTATATTTAATACTATTACATTACATATATTGTAGTATTATAGGTGTTTCCAAATATTTAAAAAAATTTTTTCACTGTTTACAGCTTATTTTAGGCCCTTGTGATCTATCTAAAATTTCCAAGACTTTTAAACTCTAAGACAAGTGGTTGATCTGTCACCTGAAAGTGGGGTGGTGACTTTAATTTCTCACTCAGCAAACTGATCTGCTCATTGCAGTGTGTAGGAATTTCCATGTAGCCCCAATTCAGCTATACAATCATTTTTTATTTATAACTTAATCTTTTTTAATAAACTTTGTTTTAATAATGTGAAGACTCAGAAAATTACAGTTAATATTGATATATCTTAATATAAATTAATTTTTGTTTATAATAAAAATAATTCCCTAATTATTCAATTTTTTTCTTGTTATCAAATATTAGTACAATAGAAGACATACATAGAGAGTTCAATGAAAACAATGAGAACAGAAGAAACCTTAATTATTGAACATCTTTATATATATTTTGATAATTATATTTTCATATTTTTAGAAATAAATAACAACTAAAGCAACCAATATTCAAGATTAAAATTCCAAAAAAAAGGATTATTTTCTTAACTATAGCATATATATAATTAATGTTTTAAGAATATTATTCACTCTTTTACACTTTATACTTTCCACATACTTTTATACTTTACCTATATTGTGTCTTGAACATTTTTTTTTTTAATTTTAATTTTAAGCTTTCATTATCTCTAGAATACTATAAGAAGCCAGAATAAATAAACTATAAAATATATTAGTTAAAAGAAATAGCGGTGTTCATTAGCCATAATCCTATAATTCATTTACTTAAGTTCATTAACCTATAGATTTGCATTCTGAAAATTATAACGGAACTTTCCCACCCCATTATAAATTCCTAAATTTGTTGTGAGAGCCCATTAAAAATTATATGATAGCGCTAAAAACATACGAGTTTGACTAACAATGATAATAATAATGTATATAAAAAAGAATTTTCCTTTGTTTCTTTTTTACTATATTAAATTGCGAAATCAGGTGTTCATACCAAGTTCTATAGATGTATTTTTTGAAAACACCGTTAAAATTAATGATATACAAACTTTAGATCAAAAAAGTCTTGTTTCAAAGAAAAATTGTTTTCGATAACTTGACTTTGGTTATCCTCGGTTTTTAATTTAACACTAAAATCATCATCTATGTAATTATAATTGAATGTTAGCATTCCAAAATTATATTCATTGATAAACAAATAAGGTATTCTTTTTGGTGAAAATGACAAAATTATCTCAATGGGTGGTATTGCGTTATTTGAAATTCTTATTGATGATAAGTTATTGATAGCTAAACATTTTTGAAATTTTATTTGATTGTTTAATTGAGTAACAAACTTTTTCAATATTTTGTCTTCATCAAAATTTTTCTAAAAAAAAAAAATTCTTAAAAAAATAATTAATTATAAATAATTAATAACTAAATAAAATTACTTGATCTTTAGTTAAATTTATAAAAACATTTTGAATATTGCAAATATCATCATTAACAGAATTTATTGGTTCTAGTAAAACTTTTGAATTAACTTTCAAGTCTAATGATTTACTTAAACCTTTTGTTACATATATAGTAGGCCAAACCAAATGTTTTATTTTTTTATAATTACTCATAGATTTAATTAAAGGACATAAACCTACAACAACACTGTTTTTGCTTGGAGAACTATTTTTCTCAAGAACTTTTAAACTTTTATTCTCTACTTCAACTTTTTTAGGTAACAACTTTATTTCAACAAAAAAAACTCCACATGTAAAACTAATTGCATGAGGAAATAATTTAATCAAATGATCTTTAGAAATAAACACAGAATAATCGTAAATATTATCATATTCTAATAATATTAGTTCAATTGGAATCGTCCGGAAAATAAATTTTTCACAATTTATACACGAACTATTAGAGTGTGCAATATTAGAACTGGAATTTTGATTGGAAAAATTAATTTTAACATTATTATTATAAGATGAAATTAAAGATTTTGGCTGAACAACTATTTCTGTTGAATCTTTTAATAATCCAACATGGAGGCCTTCGCCTATATTATCTGAAAAACAAAGAAATACATAAGACATATTTATATTATTCTTAGATAAATAATACTAGGTAAAAAATAAATTAGCATTTGTGCAACATAGATGAAAGTTTATGAAAAAAATTGGGGAGTTAAATTAATGTTTTCCCTTGCCCTAAATTTTATTTTGTATAAAAATACATAAAAATTTTTTTAATTGGGGAGGTTAAGCTCCCTAAGACCCCCAATCTACACATACATTGTACAGTTATTAAAAGACTAGTAAATAGAAAGTTTTCATTTCAAATTTTATAAATTTGTTTAATTAAAATATTAAAAAAAAAAAAAAAAAAACTAATACTTACCAATAATTATCTTTAAATGTACAAATTTTGATACCCAAATGGGACAGATTTGTTTATTATATACTATTTGTAGTTGTTGTAGAATATTATCTTGAAGAGAAACATTGTTCAACATCTAAAAAAATATATAAATTATTTGGCATTTGTTCAAAATTAAAACAATTTCTATCTTAAAACTTATTTTATATAATTAAACTTAAGTGAGTTATTTTATATTATAAGCTTATCAAACATATAAAGTGTTTATGATGTGAAAAAATATATTCTGTATAGAGATTAAAAAATTATTTTAATTTATAAAATTTAGCAGCTAATTGCTTCTTTACAACATTGATATTAATTGATATACAGTGGTTATTTCCAATTATAATACTACTGAGTGACAACATTAAGGTAATTGCAATTGAAGGCTTAAAAATAAACAAAAATTCTTCAAAAATATGATGCATTTCTATTTTCTGTTGATAAAATCATAATGGATAATAAGTACTTCGTACCTAACCCAACCATCATAAACAAATCCCTTTGCTCAGTAAAATCCCTTGTATATTATACATGTATTTTAACACAAAAATACGAAAAAAAATGTATGGTATCTAATAAATGCATAAGGATATATGAAAAATTCAAACATAATTTACTATTAAAAAAACTTTAAACATTCTATTAAATAAATATGCGTTTCTATTAAAAAAAACAAAGTTAACATTCTCACAATGTCTAAAAGATAAACTTAAAAAGTATTACACAGCTATTAATTTAAAATCTACAAAAAGATCAGTGTAAGTTACAAATATTTCAATAATCATTTTATTAAGTAAATTGATAGAACTGTGTTGCTAGCAATTTGAGATACATATTTTGTGCATCAAAGTACATTGCGTACTACAAAAATTGATAACAATAAATACTACATACAAAGATTTTTATGAATTCTATTCAGTATTTTGTCTCATAAAATAATATTTTTTTTTGTAATGTATAACGATTTACCTGATAAACCTAAAATTGGAGAACAATTATTAACTAGTAGTAACTAAAAAAAAAATTTCAAAATTATTTTAATTCTGCAAGTAATTGAGTGAATTATGACAAATATATCACTTAGTATACTAAATTTTATTAGATAATCATTTTACAATAAAATGTCATATGAACATTAAATTTTTAACAAACCCCATTCATATATTTATTTTGTAAAATTTCCCATACGATTAACATGACAACCAGAAATTACCCAAATTGACTTGTTACCAATTACATGAATCCCATAATATTGTTCTAAAATTCAAACATACTAGTAGGTCCCAATCATCATTAGTAAGAGGTGTTACATATATTCTTTCTAATGAAGATATCTGATCAAAAATAGCAACTGTAACAAGATCAGATTCTTGAAGTTGTAAGGCAGATAACATTTCATGACTGATATTAAGTGCTTCGTTTCCATTGGAATTGAATGGAGTTTGACAATAAGAGGTAAAAAATTCTTGTTTTCCTGGCTTTTTATCAATTGTTGATACTTTTAAACAAGCCTATGAAATAAAAATTATTTTAAAAACTATTCAAATTCAATCTGTCTCAATAGAAATGGGATACAATACTTTGTGACTGGGATATAATATTTTAAGTTCTCGAATTAGACTAGATGACAAATGAACGAAGCAGTCTTCTACTGGGATTACATGAACTCTTAATATTCTACTGTTCATTATTATTATTATTTTGTTTTTTTTGATAATATTTAAGATTAATTATTTAAATAAAAAATTAAATCAATAAAAATTCTGTACATTTATTTTATTAGACGTTTTTATAAAAAGGTGACTTAAATACATTTTCTCTATAAAAGTGAACAAAAAAAAAATAATTATTTTATATACATTTTCAATTTATTATATTAGGAGTACATAAAATTACCATAATATTTAAAATCATTATTACATTTTTACTGATAAATTTTATATATAAAATGATAATATTATCGCACTTGATAGCATTATTTTTTACATTTAAACCTTATTATCAAACACCTCTACTATAATTTGATTTTAGAGAAGAACGACCGCGGTTATGTTAACTGTAAAATTCTACGGAATGATTCTATTATATTAGCCACTCAATTTCTCTTAAAATAATTTTATTATACAGAATGTTTAGTAAGTAAGGAAACGGGTTTCTATTATTCTCATTGTTTGTAGCAATTTACCCGTTTCCTTACTTACTGATCACTTTATATACCTGAGTCGCCGAAACTATTTTTTACAATGGGAGGGGGGAGGGCAAAAATTGAATGACTAAAACTCAGTCCCCTTGGATGTTACTAAGCTTAAAATCGGGTTAAGCTATTTTTTAGTGGAATTTAGTGATCATATAAAAAAAACGTTAGCACAGTGGGGTCGCGGCATAGTGGAGACGTTGCATAGTTGGGTCCAGTATAGATTTAATCTGACAGTGATTAAAATCACTATCATAAGAAACGCTTCGATGCAAATCTGTAGATAGTGTTTAATTCTAAGAAATTGATGGATAATTACAAAAGCAACATTAACATAAACATAAAATAAGCTTTAATTTGATATATGTTTAAAGGACGGAGTATTTCCGGAACATTTTCAAAAGTTCAGTTGAAAAAATTAGTTTTTGTAAAAAAGTTACTATTTTAAATCCCCCCTAATGAGCAGAATAAGTGATAGATTTTCAAAAAAATGATTTCAAATGAAAGGAAATTATCTAAGGTTTCAATATGAAAAAATATTATTTTGATTTGTTAATATTTGAAAAAGTTATGGCAGTTTTAAGTACAAAAAACATCCTTATAGAAGGTGATTTTTATCACAAATATTACAATTTTTTAAATTTCGACAGCAATTTGCACATAGTAGATAAGGTGTCGGGACAAATTTTTTTTTTTTTTATTTCATAGTACATAAAATAAGCTTTAATTTTATATACGTTTAAAGGACGCAGTAATTCCGGAACATTTTCAAAAATTAAGTTGAAAAAGTTCTATTTTTTATACAATGTTTCAAGTTTTGAACGCCCCCTATATATAGGGAAATTGTCCAATTTTAAAAAAAAGTATGTCAAATGAAAGATGTACTTATAATGTATTTAGAAAAAAAAAAATTTGTGCTGATAATTACATTTTTTGAAAAGTTATAGCATTTTTAAGTTGAAAATTTAAAATCGAAAATTTTAACACAAAAATAGCGTTTTTTTAATTACGGCAGCTGTTTTCATGCAGAAGATAAAGTGTCGGGACAAATTTTTTTTTTTCATTTTGTAGTACATAAAATAAGCTTTAATTTGATATATGTTTAAAGGACGCAGTATTTCCGGAACATTTTCAAAAATTAAGTTGAAAAAGTTAGTTTTTGTAAAAAAGTTGCTATTTTAAATCCCCCCTGTGAGCAGAATAAGTGTTAGATTTTCAAAAAAAAATGATATCAAATGAAAGAAAATTACCTAAGGTTTCAATATAAAGAAATATTATTTTGATTTGTTAATATTTGAAAAAGTTATGGCAGTTTTAAGTACAAAAAACATCCTTATAGAAGGTGATTTTTATCACAAATATTACAATTTTTTAAATTTCGACAGCAATTTGCACATAGTAGATAAGGTGTCGGGACAAATTTTTTTTTTTTTTATTTCATAGTACATAAAATAAGCTTTAATTTTATATACGTTTAAAGGACGCAGTAATTCCGGAACATTTTCAAAAATTAAGTTGAAAAAGTTCTATTTTTTATACAATGTTTCAAGTTTTGAACGCCCCCTATATATAGGGAAATTGTCCAATTTTAAAAAAAAGTATGTCAAATGAAAGATGTACTTATAATGTATTTANCAATTTTAATAAAAAGTATGTCAAATGAAAGATGTACTTATAATGTATTTAGAAAAAAAAAATTTGTGCTGATATATACATTTTACATTTTTTGAAAAGTTATAGCATTTTTAAGTTGAAAATTTAAAATCGAAAATTTTAACACAAAAATAGCGTTTTTTTAATTACGGCAGCTGTTTTCATGCAGAAGATAAAGTGTCGGGACAAATTTTTTTTTTTCATTTTATAGTACATAAAATAAGCTTTAATTTGATATATGTTTAAAGGACGCAGTATTTCCGGAACATTTTCAAAAATTAAATTGAAAAAGTTAATTTTTGTAAAAAAGTTACTATTTTAAATCCCCCCTAATGAGCAGAATAAGTGATAGATTTTCAAAAAAATGATATCAAATGAAAGGTAGATATCTAAGGTTTTAGTATAAAAAAAAATTTTTGAAAAAGTTATGGAGGTTTTAAGAAAAAAAAGTGAAAAAATTTCGAAAATTAGCGATTTTTAAATTTGTAATTTTTTTAGAGATTTTCCCCGTAAATGGGGAACGAGGGAAATTTATTCAATTTTTAAGGGTAATGTCTTCAACTAGATACGATTTGTGACCTTTTGACGGATTTTCGAAAGAAATCGGTCCAGTGAGAGCTGAGAAAAAGTAGTAACAAACATAAAAAAAAAAAAAAAA